ACTATTTACACTGGATGTTGAATGTTCACTTCAAGAATATATTCTTTGGGGATTTCAAACAACTGAGGTTCTGTACTACCTGCTTGAATGATCAAAGGCAGTATATCAAACATTGTTCTTTTACTAACCCAACCCAGGCTCAGCGCAACCTTAAAGCAAAAACATTGAATAAAAATAAATATTAAAACTGCTATACAAAAATAAACTATTCTTTTAAAAAAAAAAAATTTTATTTAACTTTTATTTTTATTTATTTTAAAAACTTTTTAAATCTTTAGAAACTTAAAATCTTACTTCAGTAATTTCTATACTTGATGGATCTCCAATAACTCCATCATCTTGCTTGTACCCTGCATATCTTACTAGTTGTGGATTCCATATGCGAAAATCTCCATGGTTATTTCTTTGATGTGGAAAAATTGATATTGTAGACCTTAAAAGTAAAGACCAGATTAACTTACTATTTTAATAACTTTCTTTATGTTGTTATAGTTTTTCATGATCATAGATAATCATGATTATGATTATAGACCATGATAAATGATGTTTTTACATCATAATATCTCAAGTACCAACATATATCACATATATTGAGAAAATTTCCAAATAAACAAACAACTGTAAAAACAATACATAATAGGTTAGTTCTTAAAACAACATTTGAAAAAAAGTTTAGGGTGTTACAGGCTGCAAATAAACTTAAAGGATTGGCAATCCATAGAAATGTAGATTTTTCTAGCAATTTATAAAATCATTGGGGTTGGTGCTTTGTCTGCAATTACCAACGGCAATGATTTTAAAAATTAAATCATAAATCTATCAGGGGTTGCTCAAAAATATTTTAATCTGGATTTCAAAAATATTAAAACTATATAAAAATTTCAAGAGTATTATTTTAAGCAAAAATTATAAATTTTGATTTTATAATTTTAACCCTAATTCTGCCCAAGCTCTTTCTCTTTACCCCACAGTTAGTATTAATGTTATTGGTGACTTTGATGCTCATCAGACTGATTGACATGGCTCTAGTACCATTAATCTTACTGGTTCTAAAGTTTAAAACTTTTGCTTTTCTCAATTTCTTACTCAGAAATTAACATTGTGACTCATTTTATCATTCACTGCTGACCTCTAATGGGAGCCACATATGCATACTTAGCCATATATACATACCTAATGTAGCCATATATACATACTTAATGAAATAATTTTGTTGTATTTGGGATGATTCTTTTAATAAGATCCTCTCTTTAAAACAAGGTGCAAAACCGCATTGTTTATTTTGTTGGACCTTGCTAGGCTTAAACCTCCGTTCTATACTCATAAGGTCCCCACCTTTTTTCTATAAATAATACCATAATCACTGCTCATGCAAGCTATCAAAAATTTTTGATTAACCTAAACTCAATCTTACATCATCATTCATATATGTTGCATCTTTTTCTATTCCTTTGCTCAAAAATGTTTTATTCATCTAGTTTTTTTATGCAAACATTAATGCTTTGGACTTCTCTCCCCATCATTATATTTTTCAGACACATAAATTAAGTCTTTCAAGTCTGTCACTTGATTTCTTACTCTTTAGCTAACTTCTTTATTTTATGTTAAATCCTAACTTAAATAGTTGTTGCTTGCATGATGCTGGAGTTAAAAAATATAAAATTTATATAACTTACATGTTATAGTTTAATTTCACAATTCTTTATTTTTCTCCCTATTGGGAGTGAATTTGTGATAAAGTAAAAAATAAAAAAGATTTTTGATTAAAAAATAAAAAAGATAATAATAAAGTAAAAAATGATTTTTTTATACTTTTTTTTAATTATTAATCTTTAAGTACTTTAGATTAAAAACTTTTGGATAATTATAAGGATTGGTTAAATGTTTAATGGTCAACAACCTATAAAAAAACTCTTTATATGCTAATTTTTTAAATTAACATATATTTTTTTCAAATGTTTTTTTTAAGAATCATTCTGATATATACTTTAAATTTTTCTTTTTATGTTTTTTTAAGAACCAACCTGGTAGTATAACTTTTGATTGACTTTGTAACTATTAAATAGTTGATTATTATTATAGTTACAAAGTCACTTTTAATATCAACTATTAAATAGTTGATATTAAAAGTGACTTTGTAACTATTAAATAATAAACTTTTATTATTTAATAGTTACAAAGTCACTTTGTAAAAAAAGTCACAAATAATAACAATAATAATAAATCAATAGCAAGATAATTTGTATTAGATTACCTAATGTTCCCCTTATTTGTTGCAAAGCGAAGATGTTGTAAACAACACTCAAACATTTGTTGTGCTGTAGTTACATGGCGACAATCAAACACCTGCATGTTTAATTAAATAAAAAATCACATTCTGTATTCAATCAACATATTGTAAAAAAAATTAGTGTTGCTAACTGTAGTTTTAAGTGTGTTAGCAACTGTAGTTTTAAAATTTAAAGGAAATGTGCCTAAAAATTAGCAGGAGAAATCATTTATACAACCTAAAAACAATAACAATATAAACAATAGAAACATATAGAATTATAATATAAAATATATAACAAATTGAAAAGAAATTACTAAAAAAGTATTTAAAAACATATTTTAATATATTTCCAATTATATATTTCAAAACAAATTACATAAAGTTACTCAAAAATATACAGGATTTTGATTGATAAATATAATAGATTTTTCAAAAAAATTTACTAGTTTAGTTTTAATAGTTTGTAATATTGTTGTCATTTTGCACGTACTTCTTCCATCTCAGCATTTTTTTTTAACATTTGTATCAGAGCTAGTACAAGCTTGCAGAACAAATAAGTTTTTCAATATGTTTTTGTTGGCAACAAAGCAGTTGCCATCATTTTGAGTTAAGGTATGCAGATGGGTGGAGGAGCTTAACTTTCATTCTTCCATGTTGATTTTAGCTTTAATGTTAATCTATCACTTAATCTACCATTACATGACCTCTTAAGTGACAGTAAGTTCAGATATATATTGCTGCTTTTTAAGTTTGAATTTATTATCATCATTTTAAATTTTCTTGCACTGCCAAAATTGTAAAAACTCTCATAAATGAATTTTACTGCCCTATACAACCAAAAGTAAACAAATGTATTTTAAACATATTAGAAAGTTTTGCTTTTAAGGATAGTATGATTAGTTAAAATACTTTGTAAATAAAGGTTACAACAGGTGTAATGTTGTTTGATTTAAACCAGTGTGAAGTATGTTTTAGTCCTCTTCATTTTTAGAATATATCAATTGAAGAGAATTCCAGTAATAATTTTCAACAAAGACACCGCATAACCCGAATTTGGTTTTAGTTGATAAAGCTACTGTGATTGAAAGTGGGAACTAAAGGAATGGGAACTAAAGAGAGTAGGAACTAAACGAATGATTTTTTTTTTTTATTTATAAAAATATATATATGCTTTTAATATATATATTTTTATTAAAATATATATATATATATATATATATATATATATATATATATATATATATATATATATTTATATATATATATATATAATATATATATATATATATATATATATATATATATATATATATATATATATATATATATATATATATATATATGTATGTATATGTATATATATATATATATAAATATATATATATATATATATATATATATATATATATATATATATATATATATATATATATATATATATATATATATATATATATATATATATATATGCTTCACTAATATTTAATGCATCCAATAGTAATTTGGCATTTGGGTGATAAGCATAAACAGCATATGAACCACTTGTTTTTACAATAAAAAACAATGTAGCTTTTATTTGACTTATATGAAGCAAATTTATTTTGTGCTTCTAATATCAACAAATTAGGTGATGCAAGTGTGAAACCTTAATTTCATCAAACTTTTTTTTCACTATTTACTTTGTTTTTTCTGAGAAAATATTGACATGACTTTAATTTTTTTAGTTACACTTTTTACCATTTGATTAATGTGCACAACCTTTCACTATTCTTTGGGAGAAAAAATCTTTTGAAAAACTTGAAAGAGATTTTAGATAAGATAAATTAAAATCTTGAAGATTTTTATTGACACCATTCTTTATACTTTGCATGCTGAAAAAATTTTCATCTTGCTTACCCTGATTTTGTTCTTGTTCTGTAAAATCACCTTTGCAATCTTTTGTTTATAAAGTTTGCAGAGATTCATAACAGAAGCAACATGCTGAAGATAAAAACTACTTCTCATCCTGGCTTGTGGTACTTTTATTATACCTACACCAAGATTTTTTTAAAATAACAAAGTTTTACATTTTACACTTGTCTGTTCATTTATATAAAACTGCTTAAACAGTCATATATAATACTAAAATAATAAAATTTTACAGCTACATACTAGTGATTTGCATTAAACGGATCACAACAAGCTTTCTGCCATATAGGATACAGATTTAAATATTTTGTATGTATTTCACCTAATTTTAAAGTTTGGTAATTCATGATAATTCAATGTTACAGCATAAAGATGCAATCATTTTTGCTTTGATTAAAGTTTGAGCAACATCTTGTTCACCTTTGCATGCCTTTGTTGTCATTAAGCTAACAGAACGCATCTAAATAAGATAAACTACTTGGTGTGACCAGTAAAAAGATTTTTCAAACTAAGATCAAACTTGGAACTTCTTGCTTATAAAGCCAGCACTCTACCACTATATCATTACCAGGTTACACGTTGGTGTTACTAGGTTACACCAATAGCAGGGTGATCATGGTGATCCTAATCCTGACCTAAACTTTGTTTCTTAAATGCAATAACCAAGAAAGTTTGAAAAAAATATGAGTATCTATGGTTCAGAATTTCCTAAAATTTGGTTGATTTAATGTGAAACTATCAAATGGAAAACTCCTGATATTAAAACCTTATTATTTTTAAAAGCTCTGAATGGAAATGTTTTGCAGAAAACACAGGAACACCATTGCATGTCTGCTTTGCAAGGCAATTTTTGACTATAACAGTAATAATATGTTTATATAATATTTATTTTTATTAGGAAAATTTAGTTTTTTTAAACAAAAAACAAAAAAATAAATCATCAATAGCTGTAAAATATTAGAATCATAACAGTGTGATGTGTACACGATGGTACATCTGCTGATATTTTTGGTGTGAATCGTTGAAGTTGTGTAAATAGACTTGTGTTACAACTTTAATATTATCAACAAGAGTCAACTACATAGCTTATTGCATTAGTTTAAATGTTTTCCTTTTTACCCTTTTGTTTAGCAACACTTCAGTATCAGTTTATTATATTTCAACCAATGGCCAGTGGGATCTCTGATTTTCCTAATTTTTACATATTATTATGTGAATTATGTAGATAGGTTAAATTTAAAACTTCAAACTTCCAAATGCAATAATTTACAAATTATATGCTTATAAACACAACACAGTAACCCCCTTTGATTCACAAATGGTCAAAATAAACTACTTTAATGCATTAAAACCTTTTTTCTTACATTTAACAAATGTCTCATTTTTTCTTGAACTATTTTCTGTATAGTTGCCTCTTTAAAAAGTGGTTTTTATTAACTTGCATCATATTAGAGGAAAATTATAACTTCCTCATCTTTGGAATAAATTTGAAAATCACTAGAAAATTCCAAAATAAAGTCAACTGTAGTATTTTTCTATTCATTCACAGATCTTCACAGGTAAGTTTTCTGATTTTCTAATATTGTCTACAATAAATGGGTAAAACAAAAGCAGCTTGTTGCAGTTTATAACTCAAATATATCTAAAATTATATTGTCCATTCGAATAAAAAGTCCAATTTTCAGCCACTTTGCAATTCTTGTAAATTTTTCTAACACTTTGTATCGATCTTAGATTAACAGCATCTACCCATAGACCCAACTATCTAATAATGCAAACATTTAAGACTAGTCATGTTTAAAGCAAAAATGCCAGCATTTAAAAAAAAACCTATTTTTCAATTATCAATTGTTAAATGCATTTGTGGAAACCAGTGCCCCTTTAACTTATCTACTGGCCCATGTGAGGGGTGCAACCAATTATAAATCATTTCTTTAAAATGAAAGATATGATTGGTTGCCTCCTCCTTGATCTGGTCTTTATAGTGGATAGCCAAATGTGGTTTGGTTAAGATTTGGTTATAATTAGAAATTGTTAAATATCGCAGATTAAAAAATGTAAAAAAGAATTGCCTGATTTTCGGAAATGTTAGATAACTGAACTTTTCCTGAATTACAAATAAAAAATTTCAGCAAAATCCATTTGCATAATATATTCATAATACATATCAGTATAGGTTATTCCATATCAAATCACCTAGTTTTTTGAAAGTTCCCCAGAGTACCATCTCAGATTTGCTTTAAACTTTGACCACACAAAGATCTTATGAAAAAAATACAATCCAGAAAATTTCAGCTTGATTGACCAATTTGTTCAAAAGTTATGATTAAATTAAAAATGACCAAAATCCGAAAAATTTGTGTATCATTTGTGTAGCAGTTTTTTTCAATTTTTGAAAAACCATAACTTTTTAAATAAAGATGGTGATCACCTGAAATTTTGTGGGGTAATAGTTTTTCGCCTAAATAATTTGTTATTGCAGTTGTTTTTGACTGATTTTTTACAGTTTTTGAGTTGTACCTTAAAGTTGCTAAATATTGCAACATTATTAATATTTTTTCAAACTTAAACGTGTTAAAGTTTAATACTTACTTACAGAAAGTGGATTTTTTTTTACCTTTGTGTACTTAGGGGAACCACTTTGTGTACTGAGGAGGAACTGCTTGAAAATATACAAAACGGTGCATTGAATATTACTAGCACAAACTGTAATAATAATAAAAAAACTATGAAAAAATTTTTAAAAAGGCTGTTTTTTTTTTAAGATTTTATTAGAAACAATTTGTAAATAAATAAGTTATGTATAATATACAGATGTTTACATACAACTTATTTTATATTTTGCATACCCTTTAAGTTGAAAAAAAAAAAATTTAATGGGATTTATTTCAAAATTTTTCAAAGTTTAACTTTGTTTGCTTAAAATGATTTATATTTGAATGCAGATTAGAAAATTATGAAGTGAATTAAAAGCAGAAAAAAACTTTTTTTATTTTTTCAACTATAAAATTAAAAATTACAAATTTAATTATAATTTACAAAACTAGGTTCAATGTCACTCATATAGTTAAAAACTAGTCAATGGAGTGACATGTTAATAAAATAAAAAAATAAAATAAAAAATTATTAAGACAAAGAGCTAGCACAATGTATTACATCCCAGCTAGCATGCTTACATGACCAAGGTATGTAAATATATTGCAAACACCAGCTGTTTTCTCTGATGCAAATACAACGTCGATCTAATCTTAGTTGTATTGTATTTATATTACAAAAAACCTTATGCAATTACGACGTAATTAAAAATAGTTAGCAAAATTACATTGATTCAACATATGTAGTGGTGTAGTGGTAGAGCGCTCGCTTCATAAACGAGTGGTTCCGAGTTCGATCCCCACCAGTCCCTGGTAGTACTGTGCTCAACTTGTTTCTCCGCGCAGTGGCCTTGTTTGTCAAGGCTTGTGTTTCAGAGTTATAGAGTTGAGAGAGGGTTATAACTACAAATAAGTAGCCTCCTCGTCTGTAGTGGCCTTCTCGGCCTTGAGGAGGTGAATTAAAAATAAAAAAAATATGTAAAAACATTGCAAAAGTTGATTGTTTTTCTGATCTAAATCCAACATTGATCCAATGTATATGAGTTAACGCTGATCCAATGATTATAAACTAACATTATTCCAATGTGTATGGATTAACATTGGATTATGTACATAGGATGAACCTTGATCCATATACATAGGAATAATGTTGGATTATATACAGTAGATCAAAATTATGTTTTATTCGAGAAGAGGTAGATTTACAAATATATACTTGTATAATTCATCCAAATATTTCAGTTTATTATAGAAATATAATTTTCTCTTTCTTTTATAACAAAATATCGAGCCACAAGCAAAAAAAACATGAATATTGCCTCTTTAATTAGATGCAAACCAATAAGTATACACAAAAATAATCAGCGATATTAATTCATCAGAAATGGATGAAATATATATGAATATATATGCATATATTAAAATATATATGTGTATAAATATGAAATGTATATATTTATATGAATGTATATATTTATATGAATGTATATATATATATATATATATATATATATATATATATATATATATATATATATATATATATATATATATATATATATATATATATATATATATATATATATATTTGTAGAAAATCACTTAGCAAAATTTGTTCTCATTTAACACTGTGTTTCATCAATAAAGACTCATATATGATTTTTTGATGAGTCTTTATTGATGAAACACAGTGTTAAATGAGAAAAAAAAATTTTGCTAAGTGATTTTCAACTAATTTGTAATTGCTCTGTTCTTTTAAGAATATTGAGCACTCTTTTTGTAGAATACATTATAAATTGTTTAAATATATATACATATATATATATATATATATATATATATATATATATATATATATATATATATATATATATATATATATATATATATATATATATATATATATATATATATATATATATATATACATATATATATATATATATATACATATAATTGTATATACATATATACATATATACTTATATACATATATATATATATATATATATATATATATATATATATATATATATATATATATATATATATATATATATATCAGGGATGCGAAGTCCCAAAAGGACTCCGGCTTTATATCTCTATTTTTTCTAGGTCTGTAGTGTCCAAAAACTCTAAATATGTTTGTTGACTTATGATCTGCTATAAGAAAAAAAATCATGTGATTTAATGACTTAGAACTTATTGTTTTTAAGCCCGAAGTCCTGGAGTCCCGGAGTCCTTGCCGCCATCGTACCTCCGGACTCCGGGTTCAAAAAGTGATTGTTCCTCTTACCTAAAAATTTTTTTTCTATAAGTATTTCATAAACATTTTTATATTTTTAGAGCTCCTGGATACTAAAAACTATGAAGAAGTAATTTTTTTGTGACTTTCAAATCCGATGTCCTTTTTTGGGACTCCGCATACCTGATATATATATATATATATATATATATATATATATATATATATATATATATATATATATATATATATATATATATATATATATATCAGTGAATGAGTTATTTAAAAAAGCTAGTGATGGAATAACAAATAAGCAGTGACAAAAAACCTCACCCTTAAAAAGGATGTAAAAAATAATTAACTTTAAAAAATAAAACTTTTATTATTATTAAGTTTTTAAAAAAACATACATGTAAATTTTTCCAATGAATTCTCCCAATACAACGTGATGCATTTCTCCAAGCAAGACGAGCTCCAAATATCAATTCTTTTTCTGTTAACTCATAAGAATTACAATTGTCAATTTCTGTTAGAACCTCTTTGATCCTTTCTTTGTGCTGTAGAGTATTTAAACTAAATAAAATAAATTAGAAAATTGATAACTCTCAAAAGTATACATGTAGTCTAAAACTTAAATGACATGCTACAATAACAAAAAATATATAGGGCAACAATAGCAAAAAAAATTGTATTTCATATTTCAAAAACTAAACTGAACTAAAAAATAAAAATGTAATTACAACTATGATTAAAAATAAGTGTAAATATAAATTGAATGGTCGTATTCCAATCCATGGGTTTTATAATGAAAGGATCTTAAAATTAAGATCCAAAAACTGACCATTGTTGTGTCTGAAAATATTCTTCAAGAAACTTCAATGCTTCATTTTTGACTTGTGATGGCTCAATTTTAATATGTTTTTCTTCATCAGGAATGACTATAGATCCAACACATCGTTTTTCATTGCAACCAGCCACCTAAAGAAACAAATTTGTTGACATAGCATTTTTAGATTTTAATAAAGCATTTGACAGAGTTCTCCATAAAAGGTTGTATCTAATTAAAGGCATTTAAGATTAGAAATTAGCATAAGTTACTAAACTAGTGCAAAGCATTTTTAAATAACCATGAGCAAAGATTGGTAATAGGATGTAATATACAAATGGAAAAAAGTAATTTGCGGGTTGCCTTAAGTTGTACTAGGGCTTTCCTTTTTTGTCTAACACATCGATAGATTAATGAATCTAGATACAATTATGAAATGACTAATATAGAAACATGTGCTCGCACAATTTTATCAAAAACAAAGATCAAAATTGATCTTGATGTAATCATATCAGGAGATTTAAAATTGGAAGAGCACATTAAAATGATAATTTGTAAAGCAAAAAAAATACTTGGTCTAATTCAGTTTTAAATATCCTAATATAAATTTAACGAGACTACTGTATACATCTCTGGTTTGTCGCCATTTAGAATATGCTACTACAGTCTGGAACCCATTCTATGAAAAGGATATAAAACAAATAGATTAAGTTCAGAGGCAAGCAAAAATAATTAAAAATCTGAGAGAACTGAAATATGAGGAAAGACTTGATATTTTTAATTGACACCATTAAAAGAGAGGGCCAATTAAATAAAAAAGTATTAAAAAGGCAACAAAAAAATTATATATATATATATATATATATATATATATATATATATATATATATATATATATATATATATATATATATATATATATATATATATATATATATATATATATATGTATATATATATTATATATATATATATATATATATATATATATATATATATATATATATATATATATATATATATATATATATATATATATATTTAATGACATATAAGTATCTACTTAATTTTTCAAACAAATTGCTAATGACCTTGGTTGTAAGATCTTTGTCAAAATATATAGAAATTTTTTTCAATTTAGGATAAATTATAAATTTAAAGAAATTTTTAAAATCAATTTAAGGGTAATCAAAGTCGGGTTTATTAGTAAACATTGTCAACAGCCCCATAATCTTGGTACCTGCAGTGACACAAGAATTCTAAAATTATATATAAAATATATATATATATATATATATATATATATATATATATATATATATATATATATATATATATATATATATATATATATATATATATTTAATGACATATAAGTATCTACTTAATTTTTCAAACAAATTGCTAATGACCTTGGTTGTAAGATCTTTGTCAAAATATATAGAAATTTTTTTCAATTTAGGATAAATTATAAATTTAAAGAAATTTTTAAAATCAATTTAAGGGTAATCAAAGTCGGGTTTATTAGTAAACATTGTCAACAGCCCCATAATCTTGGTACCTGCAGTGACACAAGAATTCTAAAATTATATATAAAATATATATATATATATATATATATATATATATATATATATATATATATATATATATATATATATATATATATATATATATATATATATATATATATATATCCTAAAGTAATATTTTATTCAAAAGTAGTAGAATTTTCGTCACTTAGCAACGCATATAGCAAAGGATCAAGTTAGTGTAGCGTAGCGCATGAAACCATATAGAACCATATATACCTTAAACTTATATATACCTTAAACTTTGGTTGAAACTTTTTTCCAGTGAGCAAATCCAGTTTTTGCGTTTTACATAAAATCATAATCCGATTCAAGGTCTCTCGCTAACTATTTTTTAAAAATCATACGCTAAGGGGTCGATGTAAAACCAGTTCTTTAAACGAAGTTTTTAGAGAAGGTAAAAACGTGAATCTTAAAGCTTCTCGGTCTAGTGGCTAATAATAATAATAAATAAAAATCGCTTCTCGGCCTAATGGCTAAGATCAAGTGTAGTATATGTTCTTATTTCGGCTCCAGACCATCTCTCAATTGGTTACGGTGTTGTTAGAAAGCAGAAACAGCACAAGATCGAATCCGTGACAGTCGATAGAGGTTCTTGGCGTAGTCGCTTTTACAGTGTCTCCTTTCACGTCCGGAAATCTTAAGGTGATCTGTCCACTCCGAATGTTAAATGGAGATAAACCCTTAAGTGGGCGCTGCTCAGTTTCGGCTGAGTGGCAATTAATAAACCCTTAAGTGGGCCATACGCGGAGTTTCGGCTCCCAAATAAAGCCGCCTTCTAGAGCCCTGTGTAATAGGGTGGAGCGATTTTCATAGCAAAAAAAGTTTAGAAATTAATATTCCTGAATCGATGTCTATAAGATGAAAAGTAAGTACGTGGTGCGCTACTTGTCACTTTAAATGATCATCATCGTCCTTAATTACTTTAACTATTGCTTCCTTCTGCTGTTCTTTTTTTTCGTTAAATGCGCACCACGTTTTTCGTTTAAAATTTTACAAATATTATCGTAATTATTAAGAGTTCATAATCAAAAGTTTTCATGTCACTTACTATCGACTCAATTAATTTTCAAAAATTTCTATAGCCTCAAGAGAAAATTATTTTCTACTTTTTAGTTCATTACAAAAACGTGGTTTTATAAAAAGTTTTTTTATTTGTTATATTATTTTCTTCTTTTTAGTTTTTGATGGGTGGAATTTTATATTTTGTAAACAACTGATTTTATTTTTATGCTGCGGTAGATTTAAAATCACAGCGACAGTTAAATTTGGTTTTTTTGTTCGAAAACTTTTTATTTAAAGCGACGCGTCAAATTGCGGCGACGCCTCCAAAAGTTTCGCCATAATAAATTTTATTTTGCTGAAATTGTTCAAGAAACTCGGCGAATCATGGTAAAAGTAGTATAATATTGCATTATCATCGGGTTCTGAGCTATAGTAAAAGTTTCAGAGCTCTAGATAATCGAAAAGTGGGTTAAAATTGAGTTGCAAAATTCCACCCGGACAAACAAACAAACAAGAAAGCGAGCTAATAAAGACGTGGTAAAAAGCGGAAAAAAATGCTTGTTTTATCGACAATAAATTTATTCAACAAAATTTTTAAGTAAACAAATATTTTGCCAAAATTTACCTTAAAACCACCGTTATGATGAAGACGGGGGTTTTTTAGAAAAAAAACGACACTTTTATTTTTTTTTGAAATAAAACAATATATTATTTTCAAAATCAGCATATTAATCTGTTTCTTTTGAGTACCAGGTTGATATAGTTTAGAAGGAAAAAAATTTCAACAGTATTAGGATCCGTCATAAATTTAGAATCCAAAGAGGAACCTCAAAAACTCATCTAAATTAAAATAAAAAAAGTAAGGTTTTTTTTTCATCAAATGACTTCGATTCGCAGCTCACTCGGTGTAGTTAAGGCTCTTTTAAAATATTATGGCGTCTGTATGATATTTTATTCATTATGACATATTTCCGTGAAATGGTCTGGTCTGTGAATTATGAAAAGACGAAAAAAATTAAAATAATAAATTTTGCCGTATCATAAAATATAAATGTTTGAAGCGAAAAAACCCGACCGTGGAATCTTTTTTTTTAAAAAAAACCATCTTAAAATCACAATCGCTCCTCCAAATTTAAATAAGATTTTATATTAATACGTTTTTTAGGTGAAATGAACATTATAGTTTAACAATATGATCTGTTCTGATTGTTTATTGGCAATTATTTATAATTATAAGCTCTTTCTTGGTCGGAATTCCAGTATTTTTTGTGAAAATTGATAGAAGTATTGTGTTTTGACAACTATATATAGTTAGTATACGTCAGAACCAATTTGAACTAGAATCAGTAGTAAATTAAGTAATTTTTTAAAAAGATTTTTACTAAATTCATGTTAATGTCGATGAGCGAAACTAATCTAAAGACTCCAAAATAGTGTTCTTTAGATACATTATTACGAGTTGTAAAAAGATTTTAAAAATTATATACAAAAAAGAAAAGTTTCTTTAAATATTATAAAAACCTTACGCAAAAAAAATTATAACGATCTTGTTTGAGCATAATATGCTGACAAAACCATGCTAATTCCAAATAAAAGTTTTCAAATATTTTGTAAATCGCCTACACCGAGCAGGCAAATCAAATTTCGAAAATTTTTAAAATCGCTCTACCCTACTGTGTAAGTCTGGTTTCAGCTTCAGGTGTCTCTAGTTGGTCGGTAAAAAAAAAAAAAAACGTGAATCTTATAGCTTGCTAACATATTACTTTAAATAACCATATAACCATGGTACGACGATGCTGGGTTTATGGATGTAAATCTGGATATGACACAGATCCTAATCCGAAATCTAAAAGCTGCCATTCTTTCCCTGCTGATAGCAATGTTTGTGAGAAATGGTTGAGGCGAATTGAAAGAGAACATTTTGTTCCTACAAAAAACAGCTACGTTTGCTCTTTACACTTTGTACAAAAAGACTTCAAAAAAGCAAGCTTTGATTCTGACAGATGTTGCAAGCGAATTCGTTCGGAACAAAATTTAGAAAGGAAGGTATTAAGACTTGAAGCTCTACCGTCAGTATTTCCATCTTTGCCAAGTTTAAGTATAGTAACACCAGTGCCTCGTTCAACTATTTTTTCTTCTTCCACTACTCGCCTAAACAGGGAAAATAATGTAATAATAAACGATTTAGAACTTTTTTAATCTAAAGATGCTGTTAAATCATTTGAAGAGCTTACTAAAAAGGTTGCAAGCGAAATCTGAAATTTCCATCTTAATATTTTTGTTGCTAGTAATACTGTGAGCTATTCTCTTCTTCAGTTAGTTGCAACAGGAGTAACTGTCAAATCATCTGTTGTCATATATAAAAATTTGAACTTCAATGTTTACATAAATAACATAGTTGTTCCTAAAGAATCTTTCCAATCAGTAATGGCAAGCGTAGCAAATATTTCTAGTTTATCAGATTTAAAATAAATGCTACATACATTATTTAATTGAAAAACATGCATTAAACTTTTGGAAGGATATGATTGCACTAAAGAAATTTGTACAAAGCT